ATTTTATCACACCCCCTTTTTTATCCCACTCCCAAACCCTCCCTGTGGGTGGTCGCATGTGCTACCACACCCCCTGGTTTATCACACCCCCTGAGGAGCTCCTGCGAGCTAGGCTTTATCACCGGGGTACACAAGATACCACACCCCCCCCACAATACCACACCCGGTGATAATATTTTTGAAGCCCAAAATGTTATCACCGGGGTGTGGTATCTTGTGTAGAATACGGTACACAGACGATCGGGAGATCGGGAGAGATTCGGGTGATTGTCAATTGCTGCTATGATGGCTTTGGTTGGTTGTTCTTTTTCACTGTACGGCCGCGGACACATTCTGACAGCAGCACTTCAGACAGCAGCTTTGTGCCCCGCCAGCTGCTTGTTCCATGCCTACCATGGTGTTTTTGTACAGACAGCACTTCAGGCAGCATTATTATGCTGTATGTAGTCGGCAATCTTCCGTTTTGGTATAGAGTGGGANTCGGGAGAGATTCGGGTGATTGTCCATTGCAATCATGGCTTTGGTTGGTTGTTCTTTTTCACTGTACGGCCGCGGACACATTCTGACGACAGCACTTCAGACAGCAGCTTTGTGCCCCGCCAGCTGCTTGTTCCATGCCTACCATGGTGTTTTTGTACAGACAGCACTTCAGGCAGCATTATTATGCTGTATGTAGTCGGCAATCTTCCGTTTTGGTATAGAGTGGGACAGGGAGGGGGTGATGCTACTGTAGTCGAACGGTGGGACGGACGTGCAGTTCAGTTTTTGGGCACGCATAGGTGCTGCAGGGATTTTTAGGTGTACCTCTTCGGGCTCTTGGATACCTTTTTCTCGTTATTATATGTGTGCGTGTTCTTTAGATCCTCAGATGGCTCTAGCACTTTCGTGACCACGGGCTGAGAGTCTGTTGCTAGATTTTGGCATTTGGCAACTGACATACGGTTTAATGTGAAGACAACAACAACAACAACAACAACAACAACATGTGCGGTGGGCAACAGCAAAATGATGACGGATTCGATCGTGTTTGTTCCACATGCTTGTATGTTCCAGAGGTTGCGCACTGCAGCTACACCTTGTTAGATTTCGTCGTGTAAGTACATCGAATCTGCACGAGGGAGATTCGCCCCCGAAATCACCACGTGATTGATCCGAGCTCCAGACAGGTACCGCCCAGCTGGAAGGGCGGTATAGTGGATACCGCCCAGCTGGAGGGCGGTAAAGTGGGGGAGATTTTGTTGTTTTCGTCCATTTTTGTAGATACACCACCTCTAGGTAGTATTACCCCCATTTTGTGGAAACCAGGATATAGGTATCTTCCCAGTAGTAGGGACGCAATTACAACCGTATAGATCCATGACCCTCGGAATGACGTTCTCGAGGTCTGAAGCGAAAAGACCCTCCTCTTGCTGTGACCAGCCGGAGGGTGGAAGCGAGCCCTGAAGCTCGCTCTCACCTTTCAACCTAGAAAGGCCGACTATTAACGTCAGCCACGCTTGGCCATTCCTTGCCACATTGCAATAAGAGCGAAATTACCTCCGTTGGTGAACGGTTATTCACCACTTCAGGGATCTTTACTCATAACGGAGGAAGGGTATTCTCAATTTTGTCAATTGCCCTAATACTATTTCTGAGTGCCAGTGTACATATGTACACCTTCCGGCAACGTTTAAAGCAACAGCGAGGTCACACAGCCACGGGAAGAAAGAGGTAAACGGAGGAGTTCCCCCCCTTTCCCTCTACGGCGCCTTTAAATTTTTTTTAAGCGAGAGGGTGTAGCAGTCCTCTTCTTGTATGCGTACTCACGACCTGTGCGCTTCCCGGAGAGAGACTCGAACCCGCAACCTAGAGCCACATCGTTTGGTCAGCAACTCGGTTCACCCAGCCTGTTGTGTGACCGAGCTCTGGGAAAGTGCGACATATTCCATCAAGAGAGATAGCGTACACAAATGCAACACCTTGGTATTCAAACCTCGCTTTTGGCACCACACTTTCAGGACATTTGGCATACAGAGCACCGAAAACTTGTGGACTGCTTACTAGGTGCAAGACAAACACGTCGGTGTCGCCAAACCGCCGTTTCACAGTACCAACGACGGCTGTCATCGACCTCAGGTTGAACAATTCAGTTCGACATGCACCCCTTTCAGCCAAAATGGGGCAGGCACATTCCACACGAGCCTTGGAATAAACAACCGGTGTCTTCGCGAATGGCTCCATTAACCCTGTTGGTAGGCTGTATCGGGGATGCTTGCTACCTCTCTCTATTCGATACAACAAAACCTTCAGCAACAGCATTCTAGTGCGCCACGTGGCCGCCTGGGGATGTCAGTGACAGCTCCTTCCTCAAATTTCGCATATTTCACTAATATTACCGATGAACCCTCGATCCGGAGGCATCGATTTCCGAAGTTGCCGTTGCTCCTTGTCTTCCTCTCAATTCGCTCCTTTAAACCCTCACGAAAACGAAGAAGTTTTGTCTCGCTGTTTGGCCTCGCATGATCCTGTTGGGGCAACGGGGAAGAGCATCGAAGCGTGGCAGCGAGGCGGGCAAAGAGGAGGTGGCGTACATCATTATGTGACTCTCCGAGCCGGGGCACCGCTCTTGGGAACCTCAGTTGAGTTGTCTCCTGCCCATGGTTTCGCAAAGCTACGTACTCCTACATTCGTACCGATCTGCAGAGTTGTGTCCTAAACTTCAAGTAGGAAGCGCGAAGAAAGCACAGGCTGGGGCTGGGATGGGATGGACGGGTCCTCGGCTGCGGTCTGAAACCTTGAAATACACGCACCTACAAAGCTTCGGGACAAAAAAAAACACGTCCCAGGCAACGGCCCAGTTTTCATCACTGTACCAACAGGACATGGGGCAGAACGAATGCGTGGCTGTTGGAGGGGTGGAGCGGCATCATACCTAAGATTTGCATCAAGATAGGCGATGTCGAGAAGCATCATCGCCCTCAGCGTCTTCCACCTCTCCGACCGTACGGTGATGAAGCCGTACTTAATCTGCTTCGGGGCTACGGCGATGGCGACGCTGGATTTGCCTGGTGAAATAGAGGAAAGGAATGTGGACAGCGGGGTGTACATTAGAAAATGGATCTTGTGCAAGGGTTTCTGGGGGCAAAACACCACAAAACCTCCATCTCACGCCGCAGAAGTCGTTGCTTGCGGCAGCACGAGGTCTGGCGGGTGAGGTTTTGCTAATATCAAGCTGCTTGATGCGGTAAGGTTCTCGATGGCGTTGGCCACCGAGTGTTTGCCATTGGGTGACTCCATTTAACCCAGATACTTCACACTTTCAGCGAATGAAACGCGCTAATAGCAAGCACACATCGCTTCCCGTCTCCGCAGAAAGCGTGAGGTTGTCCTATTCGGATTTCCTGCGAACATTTCTGGTTGTGCGACTACCGCAGCGTTGTATCGTGTTCCATCCGTGGAAGTGCTCCTTACCTGTGACGAGGGAAGATGTCTGCTTCACCTCCCAGTCCGAAGTGACGGTGATAATTAGTGGCTCTGAATCATCACCAGTCATGAGCTCCTCCTGCATGCGAGGCAATCATCCAGGCGCCAGGCGAAGACAACAGGTTCAAGGTCTGGCACGTACAGGACACGGCTCACAAAGTTGTGGTTTCTACCAGTTCCCTGCAATGCCGAAGATATCCCTCCCCCATTTCCAAGGGCTGTTACGTGAAGTCGTCGAGAGCTAACAGATACAATTATCCCAGTACAGGAGAACCTCTAGGTGTGTCGAGCAACCTCGAACCCGTATTCGGTGCTTCGCTCAAGCTCAACATCGAGCACACGTGGCTGCGTATTTTACACACAGGCTTTGTCTCAACCTCCCCCACTCCTGCGACGGTACCTCATATTCTGCGTCGAACACCATGCCGTCAGCATGAAGGATCTGCCTCAGCCCTTGGAACTTGGCGTTGGGGATCGTGTTCGCCAGCCCCGTCAATCCCTGCACGTACACGCGATGGAATGAGAAGTACAGAGAGTGGGGCTCGCATGAGCCGTGCACGTTTGATGCACTCGGGGCTCGTGAAATGACAACGGCAACATCAGGCTTGCGTACGCGATGTTATTTCTCGGGAAAATGATGTCCCCCACAGGAAGGGAGGAGGCATCTGCGCCGAGAAAAACGGTACACAGCGCTTAAGTCTAGTGCGGATGTGACAACACCTGCTTTGTACATCAAATGCCTCAATTGGCAGCTCTGTACACGTACCTGGTTGTACTCCATCGCATTGCTGGAGGTATAGAGAAGCCGCCATTCCCCCGCGAGTGTGTCGATCAACCCGGTGCCTAGGTCATCCCCCAGCACGAGGTTTCCCTCCTCAGTGGCCAGCAGGGCCTCCATCGCCTTGTTCAGCGCGGGGGGGGGGGGGCAACGAG